TGTCCTACTGTAAATATTTCAAAACTTAATTTTTGATTAGTAATATGCATTGCTAAGAAATTAATTTGGACAACTTTAAAGGTGATTTTCTCAATATTTAGATTTTTTTGCACACTCAGATTCCAGATTTTCAAATAGTTGTATCTCGGCCATACATCAATGGAAAGCTTATTTATTCAGCTTTCAGATGAAGTAGAAATCTCAATTTCGATAAATTGACCCTTATGACTGGTTTTGTGGTCCAGGGTCACAAATACCACATGTCTTCTGTCGAATGATTGATGTTTCACACTTTTTTAGCAAATACTGTTGTAAAAACGTCAGGTTAAGGTTCACGTGTCATTTTGCTTTGAAATGTTTACTGTAAAAGTAAACTTTAGAATAACTTTTATATTGTCAGTAATATTTCAAGATAAGCACTTACTGGACTGATGCAACTTATGTTTACTTGATTATTATAAGAAAAAAAAACAACAACATTAAAATATGAGTATCAAATCCATCGGGCTTTTGAGGAACGTTTATTTGTTCATCTCTCAATCATCATTATACTGCATTGCATTATATGTTTTGACCAGCACAAAAAAAAAACTAGTTTTGATCATAAAACTAAGCATTTAAATATCATGCTTCCTCCAGTGAAAAAGATCTCACTGATTTACATTTAAGCTCATTTAAGAATCAAGATCAGGATTTCATCTTACTTTTTGAGCATATAAATATCAGGAACTGCACCATATTGCCTAATTATGGCATTTTTTGCTCAGTTTGGGCCTCTGAATAAAATTGAGGTGTTTTTCCTCCTCAAGTTTGAGCTTCATACGAGTCACATAAGCCGTATCAAATACGATACAAAACAAATATGCAAACCTTATTTTTAGATTTTTTTAGACTTTTATATTTTATATTTTGTGTCCTATTTAAAAAGTAAATAGATTTTTATTATTTCATATGTCGGGCTTAATGACAGCAGCACTCGAGCTGCATGAATGCCATAAATTTGTGTAAAACCTGATGATCATGTTCCCAAGTCTTTAAAACATGTCACATGATCAATGTCACAAATTTACTTAAATTTGATTAGTGACCTAGAAATACTGCCATTTAACATTTAAACTTTGCTTTAAATTTCTCAAAATTGCTCAAAATCCTAAAGCACTGTTTATTTACAGATTTGAACTAAAAAAAAAAATCCCAGATATTCAATGTGGACTTTTGGACTCAACTGTACAATCACCACAATAAACAAAATAAGCACTTGAAAACTAAAATGTTTAACCCATAAAACTTGCTTTGACTGCTGTTGAAGACAAAAAAAAAAAAACTAAAATATAGCCTAAACATTGTAACACGAGGACATGTGTATCCTCCAGTGACAGTACAATACTGCCTATTGAAACGTCAGTGTTATTGTGACAAACACAAAGCAAACACAGCTGGCTCTTACTCTGAAGGTTTTGGTGCTGTAGGACGGGGAGGAGGGCGGCGAGTCGGACAGGGACTTTCTGGAGCGAGAGGAAAGGTCCTTGCTGCGCGAATAGAGCGATGACATCTCTCTCCTGTAAGATAGGAAGATCCCTGATAGACGCGGGCACCCTCTCACACAGCTGTGGAGACGGCCATGACTGCTGGACGCGAATACGCTCAACAGGTGCAAACGAGGAGTCCTCTCTGCAGTGTGTGTGCTGAGACTGACAGCCGATCTGGGTTTCCGTTCCTCCTCGAGGCACGGCGGTCATTAGAGAAAAATGAAAGCAATTAGAAGCACCTCTCCGCTTCGCTATCTCCCCTCCCTCTATTTCCGTCCCTCTCCCTCACTCACAAACGCATAAACAACAGTCGCGTCTCCTCCGGCTGACATTCTCTCTTTGACACTCATTCACACAGACGCACAATGAGAGCTAAATAAGGAGAGGACTTTGCTTTGTTAACTTTACAGACGGCTGAAAGCCTCCCTCACTGTTCTGACTACTTACAATCACTCCACACAAACACTGAAAGAACAATACTGTTTTCACTCGGTCCCACTCAGCTCCGTCACTCTCTCACAATCTCTCTTTCTCTTTCTTTCTCACACACACACACACAGAGAGAGAGAGAGAGAGAGTTTCTTCATAAATCTCACAGTCCTTTCACTTATTTGTTCTCTCATATTCCTTCTGTTCTTTCTCTGGCTCAGTACCAGCTGCTTTATTTCACTATTATTTGGTTATTTATCAAACACAAGAAATGATAGTGAAAATGTTACAGTAAAAACTCATTCATTGGTTGAAGGGATAGTTCACCAAGAAATGTAAAGTTGTTTTCATTTGCTCACCTTCATGTTGTTCTAAAAACTGTCTGTCTTCTGTAAAACACAAAAGGAGAGATTTTGAAGAAAGTGCTGGTCACTCTTTTCCATGTGATTACAATAAATGGGCACCGGGGATTTTAAACTTTAAAAGGATGCAAAAACGTTTTTTTGTTATACTGTATATTGACTTCAGAAAATTCAGAAAAATATAGTGCATGTGTAATATGAAGTACTTTTATAGTGATTTTTTGAAGTTCAAATTCTCAGCCCCCATTCATTGTAATTACGGAAAGGAGCCAACAGTTCTGAGGAAAACAAAAAACTTTCACAGAAGAAATAAAGTCAAGAAATATAGGTTTAGAACAATATGAGGATGAGAAAATTAAAACACCTGTTTTTATGGGCTTTAAAAATAGTTGTGTTAGAAAATGAAATAGTATGAATTACCTTATAATTTACAGAGAAAATCTATATTTTAACAAAATTCATGTAGTTTTACAGTAAAAGATTGTTAAAATAGTTTTTGTCAAATTTCAAACTTCAAACAAAAAAGTCAATTGATGTTCTCTGAAGTCCCAGTGATTATACTTTTGATTATATTTTATTTAAATAGTTACATTTTATTATTAGGGTTTTCTATCTTACATTTTATTTAGTTAATGTTATTATGCTGTTTATATTTTCAACTGAAGCACAGATCGTTGCATTTCAAGTACAGTAGGCTGTAATTTTAATATTATATCAAGTAATGATATAGTATGTGAAGATATGAAATATAAAATATACAGGTACCAAAATGTCAATCATCCTGTAATGTCTAAAACATTTTTGACAGTGTTTCAGTATGTGCAAACTGTACAGACGTGGACTGACACATACTAGAAACAATGATGAATCCATGATGAAGATTTTGCACTGGGCCCAAAAACTGCTTACAGTGGTCCGGCCCCCAACTGCCCACTAGCATTTCGCAGATGCGCCGTATATGTGTCATGAAGTTGGTCTGAAATGACATTTGAATGAAGAGGCTAACTGTCAGAGCTCATGTGAGTTAGAGCTCTGTCACAGTGAAGCTCAATTCATATCTCTTGTCCTGCACTCCCTTCAACTTCAGCCTTTGTGCCGAACTAAATATGACAGAATACTGACACTGAAGCAGACGGGATGAAGTTACCATGAAAAAAACTATTCCTTTATTTTGAGCAGTACATCTATTGTTTTATTATTTAAAACCTGACAATTAACTTTTTGGAAATGTTTTTCTTTAAATCTGTAGTTATACAATCTTTCAAGACAGTTTGTGGTATTCACTTTTATTAATGTCTGAAGCACAAACGATGCAGGATGAATGATGTGCTGAAGTTTAATTTGAAGGCAGTTAACATTAAGAGTCCATTTCAAGCACATACGTTTTGGAGCTGGTCCGCACTCTAAAAGCAGTTCCCATGCTTTCTTCCTGTCTGTTTCTGGCTAATAATGCAAGAGAACTCAAAGCCATCTGCAGAGGTGAAGCTGAGCCATAGAGTGCACCTCATCACATCGGCCACAATGGCTTTCCTTTTCCACTGGCCTGGACGTAGTAAGCTGGTTGAAACTGGCCTTGGGAGACTTGTTTAAGACAGTGGATTTCAGTCTGGGAGCCAACGTTTCAATAGCTGCATCTGCGTTTCGGGTTAAGCAGACTTGACCTATTCTTCTTTGCATGACTTTCCAAATGGAACATTCATATCCGCTCGGGTTCAGTGCGTGTCCTCTACTTGTCCTCTTGATTCAGGACACCAACTAATCTTTGAGATCCGCATCCCAACAGTGAGATAAAATGAGATGAAAACAAAAGGGCTGCTGGAATGAATCGTTCCCATCAATGGTCTGTCATAATATAAAATATACATACATGAGTATTTGCTATTGCAATCATTCCTCGTCTCACAGCTCACATGAATGAATGAGCTTATGAGTGTTTTAATATGGTATCTAATTTAAAGTGAATATACTACTGTTCAAAATTATGAAGAAAATGTCTCACACTTTCCACAAAAATATTAAGCAGCACAACTGTTTTCAACATTGATAATAAGAACAAATGTTTCTTGAGCAGTAAACTATTAGAATGATTTCTGAAGGATCATGCGTATGCCACACCTGTGAGGTGGATGGATTGTCTTGGCAAAGGAGAAGTGCTCACTAACACAGATTTAGACAGATTTGTGAACAATATTTGAGAGAAATAGGCCTTTTGTGTACATAGAAAAAGTCTTAGATCTTTGAGTTCAGCTCATGACAAATGGGGGCAAAAACAAAAGTGTTGCGTTTATAATTTTGTTCAGTGTATAATGTGAGCACCTAACTGCCTCCTCATTAAAAAAATTTTTTTTTTTTATCTATGCCTTGACTTTTTCTATTCTCTTATTATCCTTTATCACTTCCTTTTCTAGCTTTTACTATTTTGAACGATGACTGAAACCTTGTAAAACAGGCACTTCTCGTGTTTATTGCTATCTTATGGTAAATCGCTTGTTGTATTCTTTAACTGTAAGTCGCTTTGGATAAAAGCATCTGCCAAATGTTTTCAGATTTAAATAACAAAAATGTTTAAAACAGCTTGATATAAAAACCCAATTTTAGATTAAAAAAAATTAGATATGGCCATGAAATAATCATCATCATTATCGTTATAAATGTTAAGAAGAAGACGAAGAAGAATTACTACTACTAAATATAAACATTTCTAAAAATGAAATTGTAATATTTCACTGTAAAAAAAAAAAAATCAAGTGTTTAAGAAATAATAATAATAATAAATTTGATTTACATTACAACTGTAAAATTACAAAACTAATATTTATGGAATAATATAGCTTCATTTCTTCTTTTTCAAATATTAAACCATAAAATATATATTTTGCGAAAACCACAAGTAGCCCTAACGCTTCTCTTTTATTGATATTATAAATGTGGTTTGTTGAACGCATGTTTAAAGTTTTAATGAATTGAAACAGCTTGATATCGGCACACGCTTTGATAGTGTTACACTGAAACATCTTCCATCAAGCTGGTGATGAGAACTGCTGCCTGTAAAACACACAGAAATAGATGCACTAAACACACACACACACATACATTTACGCAACAGCTCACGGCTAAACGTCCCTCATCATCATTGACAGTAATATGACTCAGTTTACATTCATGTGGCACGCTGAAGCAGGCAGTGGGCAGCTCCGTCCATGACTATCAGTGTTAATTATCAGCGACCGATATAGCTTTCTCCTATTTCACAGCGGCTTTCCCAGAGTCATTCAGCGCTTGGAATCAGACGAGAGCCAGCTGACGGATTGAGACAGAGATTCACTGTACCTTTCCAAGGATAACTTCACTGCCACATATAGGTTTTGTCTTTGTTCTCTCTCTTTCCTCCGCCTAATTTGTTGCCTTCTGGAGTGCAGGCTTGTTCTTATTATTTTATTTTCATTAGTTTCCCTCACTTTATATGACATATTAAGCTTACAGTACTGAAGGCTTGGAGAATTAGAAAAAGAGTGGGGAGAGAGAGGCTGTAGACGGGTCATTTTGCCCTACATGGTATGGAATGTCAGGAGACCCTTGCACACTCTTCAGGTGTTCATTAAAGGCAGATAGCAAGATCGCTTCTCCAAACTCAGCTCTGCCTGATAGAGCCTTACCGACAGTACAGAGGAGACAGGACAACGTTTATCCTGATAAAAATGTGTAATGGCGATATAATGTGAGAATTTAAGAATAATAGATTACTTTATAGCAGGATTTTTCTACTAGGCCAAAATGTTCATGCTGTATAGACTATAAAACTATGCAGCAGCTTCATCTAGTGGTGTGAAAGCGCAATAACTGCATAAAATAAATTCCGATTTTTTTTTTTTTTTTTTTGTGAAAGGACATAGCAAAGGGTCAAGGTTATTAGTGATCTCCTTGGGAAATACTGAGAAGATTAGGAGATGGTCTCATTAAGTCTGTGTCTCATTTCTGTCGAATTTACGATTGAGTATTCAAACACTGAATCCTCAAGTATGTGTACTTAAAGCACAGGGATGGAAAGGTCTAGAGCAGTGGTCACCAACCTTTTCAGGCCCTAGATCCCTGACCTCGGCCTTTATGAAAGACAAGATCTACCTATTGAAGAATTGATCGAAAAAGACATCCCAGATTGTACTTCAAAATTGAGGCCTTTTACTTAGTATTTTAAATAGTGATGCGCCGATCATAGCTGATTCAGAATTCAGATTTTCTTTTCTTAATTCCGCGGGAAAACCGCGGACTTGGCAACACTGCTTATGAACTGACCGCAATATAATGTTTCCTTGGTTACCGCTTGGTTAAACAAAGCAGAGCTGCGCTTTATACGGAGAAGAAGAAAATGCCATTGCCATCGAAACTTTTCTCAAGACAGTTCCCTTCAGTGATACATATAACCCCATAAATGTAATGCATTTTTGTTATTATTTACTTTTTTTTTCGGGATCTACTGGGACTGATAAACCGATCGACGGGTTGGCGACCACTGGTCTAGAGCTTTCAGTTCAGTAATTGTTTCTGTTGTGCTGGTCAGTTTTGCAGATGTCTTGGATTTATCCTGTCAACTAGTCGTTTGTATGCAGCATCATACAAAGAAGAAAAGTTTTATTTACTGATCCCACTGTGGAAATTCTTTATGCACAGTCAGTCATGAATAATTTATACTTTAAAAATATACTTGAGTGAAAGTACAAAAGTATCCACATTTAGTTTTGTTTACATGTGTGAAAGTACAAAGGTACATGTCAAAAGTATTTAAAAGTAGCAAAAATAGTGTTGGGGAATATGTTACCATTAAATAGTTTGGGGTCAGTAAGATTAATACTTTTATTCAGCAAGAATGCATTAAATTAATCAAAAATGAAAGTGAAGACATTTAGAATGTTACAAAATATTTCTATTTCAAATAAATGCTGTTCTTTTGAACTTTCTATTTCATCAAATAGCATATCAGAATGATTTCTGGAGGATCATGTGACACTGAAGACTGGAGTAATGATGCTGAAAATTCAGCTTTGATCACAGGAATAAATTACATTTTACAATATTTTTACAATAGAAAAATTGTAAAATAATATTTCACAATATTACAGTTTTACTGTATTTTTGATCAAAGATTTCTTTCAAAAACATTAAAATGTCTATCTGACCACAAACTGTAGTGTAGTGTAATTTTGATTTATTTATTAATGTTGTCTCTGTTGGCGCGAATCATTCGTGATCCAGCCTCATCTTCAGAAGAAGTGAGTATAATGTTTTGTAATGAATCTTTGCAAATCGCCTTTCCTAATAATGTGCTAATTAGCAAGTTTCACGATGAATACAGCTAAAGTAAACAGTCTGTGAGAGCAGCTCGGAAGAGAGGGGCGGGGCCAGGAGAGCTCATTAACATTTAAAGGAAAATGCTACAAAAACGGCTTGATCTGAAAAGAGCTGTCTTTGACAGGGTAAAAAAAGGTGGTTTTTTACACTACCATTGAGAAATTTTAACCAAACTATGTTACAGACTTTTCATTAAGACCCTAAAGAATCATATCAACTTGTGGAAAATGGGCATCATATGACCCCTTTAAGGTGCAGTAGTACCTATGGAGGTGCTGTGACTCTTTAGACTGGGGGTGAAACCACTCGCTCCTTTAACTGATGAGAGGCAAAAAGAAGACCTTTCAGGTTTGGTTCCTGGTCTTCTTTTCCAGTTTCCTTGCTTGGAGAATGAATGAATCAATAAATGAATCAATAACATACTACCACAATTAAAAAAAAATTTTTTTTTTAAATCAATTTGGACATTTAAGTATACATTGTTCTTTTAACAATGTAAAAGAAAACAATTAAATGTGAACTGAATGTTTTTCAGAAACTCAGTTGAATGTTACACTGTAATTAAATGAAAATATATTTTAGTTTACATTTGCTTAAATGCAATTAGTTGAAATTACATCTTTACATGTAATTTCATAATTTCTTAAATGTTCTTTTGAAATATATAATATTTATGCTAAACTACAAAATATAGTTATAGTAGTATATTAGTAGTAGTAAATATAGTAGTATTATCATTTACACTGTAATTTGTATGCCATGTATTTAAATATATCAGTAATTGAGCTTTCGTAATGAAGTTGCAGGTTAAATATATTTAAAATATATTAACTTTAAATGTAATATAGAATAACACACCACAGTTAAAATTATAATCCAGTACTTTGCATGTGCTTTAGTATGTTAGTCAACACATCAAAATAAGTGTACTATTGTAAGTGTAATAAGTGTAATATTATTAAATCATAATAATTTAAAATGTAAAACTTTTTTTAAATGATTAAAAGTGTACTTAAGCAACATTCATGAAAGCGAATGCTCAAATACACAAATATTGTTTCAGTAATATTATATTATATGCAAGTATATACTGTATATACAGTATATATATATATATATATATATATACAGTATATAGTCACACTATAGTCACACTATAGTCACACAAAAATGTATGTATGTACACACACACACACACACACATACACATACATACATTTTTAAATGTGATTAATGTCTCCAAAAACTTGTGGGGTCACTATATATATATGATTTTAGTCTTTTGTGCATATTTGATAAAGCTGATTATTTACACCTGGAGTAAACTGCATGTGGTTGTGCTATCTTAAGTTCACCTCATCCAGGTGGTCACATTCATGTTTCTCAGCCTGCTGTTCCTGCCTCCGAGACAGGTTGCTTTCTGTCGGGTCCTCAAGGACTCTTCTCTGAAGACACAGTCCCTCTGCGGACCTACACGCCTCACCTGTGTGCAGATTCAGCTTTGACGGGCTGAAGGTTCTCTTTGCCTCCATCAGCTCTGAGAGGGTAACTCCCTAAGGAGAAGACAATTAAAAATGAGGAAATGCATCTGAAGCAGGTGCACACTATGATTCTAACTGAGCGGTCCAATATTCTCTGTTGTCAACATTCCGGTGTTCTTTCAATGAACGTAAGTTAAACTAGTAAACTGGTGCCATATTGCCATCAATAATAGTTACAGACTTGCTAAAATGGCTTCAGAAGATTGTTTTTTAATTTTCTAGTGAGCATAAGCCATTAGTTATAATAAAATAATAAAAATGCTAAATGCTAAATTAGATTGCAAATTAATTATAATTCTATTAACATTGTAATATTGTTGCAGTGTTCGTCTTGCTGCTAGCCCATATATATATATATTTATATATAGTAATTATGGATCATTTTTCTAAGTGAAAGCTTTAAGCTTTGCATTGGGGTCACGTTTATTGGTCACTGGTTTATTTTATGATTATTACCAGCTGACTGATCCTCTTTTTTTTAGAGAATATGTAATCCAGTCTAAGAAACGCATACAGAAGTGTCATATTCTTCCTTTGTGAGAGTGACTGGGTCATACCTGTGTAGCCCGTCGAGTCTGTCTGGCCTGCCGTGATTTGGCCTTCCTCTGAGACTCTGCCTCCTCATCCCTCACTGGGATCATGCGCGTCCTGAGACAGGATACAGTAAGTATTAGTACATATAAAACACTTATAATGCCTTATTCTGAATGACCATATTCTTGATCCCTTAACCCTACCCAGTTTATTTTGGGGCAGATATATGACCCGGACATGTTCTTGACAGGATTTGTAAGATTCATCCAGTGATGTCTGTGCTCTCGACAGATGTTTCATGCTGCACAAGCAAATCAATATGTATAAGTGTCGAATTTCCCCACTGAAAGCACTAGAGGCCAGATGACATACATTACTTTCCCACAGAGATGAGCACAAAGAGATGAGTAAGCATTCTGACTGATGGCCAAATCAGACCACTTAGCACTCCGCATGTCCCCCACCCTTCCTATCCAGCAGTGTTATCGATCGACATGTGGCCATGAGCCTCCAGCAGAGAACCATATCAGAGCATTATTGATGTGATGATTCATTTACACTCAATTTCATTAAAACTATGTACCTGCCGTCTGCTCATTCTCCAACTGCCTCTGTTGATCGTCATAACCTACATCTAATTATAAATCATATAAAAAGAAAATAAAAATGCGTTTCTGAAAACACACTTCAGTTTTAGTACATATATCTGAGTGCACTAATATATATATATATTTTTTTAAAAACACTATATATTCTTAAATTTTTTGTCACTATATATTTTTAGATTTTAATATACAATGACATTATAATATATAAAAGCAATCACCCTAATCAGACTAATAACAGTAATAATAATAGCAACAGTAATGATAATAATAATAATTTATTATACTATTTCTTATAATAAAAAAATTATTGTCCAGTATTGATGGTTAAATGGTCACCAATATATTGCGCTTCTTATAATGACATTCACACCCCTATAATAATAAATAAATAAGTAGTCTGATTATCTTTCATTCTAAACTGACCGTTCAAACGGTTCACATGCAAACATAGCATTATGTATTAACTATGGCATATTTTTATTATTATGAATACCAGTTCCCTCAGAGCTCCACAAGTCTTCAAAAAGTTACAAGAGACTTCATCTGTCCTGTGAAACTTTATCTCAAAAGCAGAGAAGTTAAAACATGCTGCTAAAGGAAAGTGTCTTACAGAGCACAGCATTAAAGACATCATAGTTTCCTCAAGGCCACAGATACAGCACAGTAAACCACAGCACAACACTCCCACAGTACATCACGGATGATCAAGGAGGAGCATGCAGCTGTTTGAGGGAGATAAAGCAGATGAGAGATACTGTACCTGAGCAGACAGTCCTGCATCATCCAGTCTGATACTACACGACTCGTGCTGATGCCTGCGGAGGAGAGAGACTGCAGCCGTTATGAGAAGAGGGAGAGATGGATGGACAGAGGGGGAGGGAGAGAGAGAGAGAAAGAACACAGGATACAGTGACTTTCAAGGGAGGAGATTGAATAGCAGTAGGACAGAACACACTGTAACTGACAGAGATACAAGCATAGACAATAGTCACATGATGATCACTTTATCCAGATTTACGTAATTTAAAAATACAATAGCAATGCAATTTATACAGACAATGATTTGAATGTTTGTCATTTCAATTTCTGTATTTTTTAATCATGTTTTCAATTTCTGTCTCTCTTTGCACTAAAGGAAACATTTGAATTATTAAATTAATTAATTTGAAAACATTTTTGAGAATAATGGTCAGTGATTTTTAGTGTCATTCAAAGAAAATGCAAGTTTTTAGAAATGATTAGATAAAAATAAACAATATGAGATAAAAAGTCAAAATAATGACATTCATCATAAGTACGAAACTAACAAAAAATTAAAATTATGAGTTAAAAGTCATCAGTTAATTATATTTATCTAATAATTTTGACTTAAAGTTATAATTTTGACTTTTTATCTCATAATTGTAACTTTTTATGTCAATTATAATTGACCTGTGTTTCTCTTATGTGGTGAAAATGAGCTTCCATAATTTTGCCATCTCATACAGACTTATTTGTTTCAGATTTTTCATGGACATTGGACTTTTAAACTGCTGTAGATAAAAAATAAAATAAAAACTAGGAATAGAAATCCATTGCACTCTGTAGATACTGCTGTATCACATGATCCTAGAGTTCATGTAGTGACACGTGATGGCCAGTAGAGGAGAGCACTATCCTCTCCACACACAAATTGTTGGTAACGTGGCCTTGTGAAAAGATTTGTCTGGTTACTTTAGTTAGATGTTAGATTACATCACACATAAGACACAGGGTTTCCACTAACTGTACAAATGTTTATATTTGTATAGTTACATTCCACTAAATGTACAAATGTTTATAGCTTAGAACTATGAGAACTATTGGAAAATAAATAAATTACATTTTTTAAATAAATTTTTCTCGAGTGAGAGCACGCGCGTTTACCTCTCTTCCTCCGAGGAGGTTGAGGTGGTCAACGGGCTGCTGGGCGGGAGCAGCCCCAACCAACCGTGTTCCATCTCCTCATGTAGGGAGCGTCACTTCTCAAGCCAAAGGCTTCTAGCGGAAAGCGGATCTGTGGACCGTCATTCTCGCTGAGTAGTCTTCGACTAAAACGTCCTGACGCCTAGGGCCCAGGACTTCTGAGGGCCGGCCCCCTCTGGGGAAGAGTGGTGTACACCTCATTATGCGGTGCCCTTCTCTCCTCAGTGCCCTCCGGAGAATGATCTGCCAACCCTGCCACCTACGGTGCTTCAGGGCGCAGCGTCTCCGGCAGGACTTCGGAGGGCAGGCCCCTCTGGGGAAGAGCGGTGTACACCTCATTATATGGTGCCCATCTCTCCTCAGTGCCCTCAGGAGATCGTTCTGCCAAGCCTGCCACCTACGGTGCTTCAGGGTGCAGCGGTCTCCGGCGAGCACTTCTCTCAGTCACCGCCCGGAAACATAGCGGTACTAAGAGGTTCACTACCACTTCTGAGGTTTCTAGAGCAGCTAGTTCGGCCGTCCCCTGCCGCTTCGCCGCTTCAGGGCACTGACCTAACCACTTTAGTTACACCAGAGGTCAGTCTCGAGAGACTGATTCCCTTAGTAGACCTTTTTGGCAGCGTGGAAACTTCTGCCAAATGTGTCTCAATGGGTCCTGCACACTGTAGAAAGAGGCTACCGAATCAGTTCGGTTCTCCTCCGCCTCGTTTCAACGGGGTCATTCCCACTCTGGTGGGCCCCGAGCAGGCTCTGGTAATGGAACAAGAAGTTAACACTCTCTCGAGGAAGGAGGCCTTCGGGGTGGTCCCTCCTCTCGACAGACAGTCTGGGTTCTACAGCTGGTACTTCATCGTTCCAAAGATGGATGGAAGTTCCTGAGGTTTGCTTTTGGGGGAAAAAGCTTACCGGTTTCTTCCGTTTGGCCTTGCACTCTCACCCCACACTTTCACGAAGTGTGTGTACTCAACCACATTGACGATTGGTTGATACTAGCTAAATCGGAGCAGATGGCGGTTCGGCATCGAGATGTCATTCTTGCTCAAATGAAAGAGCTGGGGTTAAGACTTAACGCCAAGAAAAGTGTGCTTTCTCCAGTACAGAGAGCCACTTATCTGGACGTGATGTGGGATTCAACCACGATGCAGGCATGTCCCTCTCCTGCTCGGTTCGAGTCGATCCTCACTGCAGTCGCGAGAGTGAGAGAAGGCCGGTCACTCACTGTCAGCAGTTCCAGAAA